TATCAAAAAAAACAAAAAATAAAACTTTATTATTTATACCTGAAGAGGTGTGATATTGGTTATTACAATGATATAGTAATTTATTTTTAATCAGATGATGCTTTTAAAATCTTTGTTATTACATAATCAATATTGTCAAATTTAAAATATTTGTTACAAAAAAAGATTTAATATAATCTATTATTTTTTTACTACTAATACTATTAAAAGTTTGAAAACTTTTTTAGCTCTTTTTTTTCTTTTTCAAAAATTAGTTTCAGTAATTTTATCTTGATCAGGAATATGCTCTCTGATTTTATCATTAACTAAAGCATTAGACATGTTTTCATTATTAAATTGCCTGTAAAAATCATACTATAAATTATATCCTTTTTTGAAATAATAGTATAAATGTATTATATCTTAATTAGTTTTTTGATTATTATCTTCAGCTTTAATAATCTTTTTATTTAATTTATAAATATTAACAGAATTTCAGAAATATATAACTGCAAAGTAATAATTTTTCTAATAAAATTTGCCTAAAAATTGGAGTAGTTAATTCCTTAATTAATTTTTTTAATGTTAATAAACTATCTCTATTAACTGGCTTAATTTTTTTACTAGAGAACTTTTCTGTAAAATCACTACCCTACTTTTTACTACTAAGATTAGGAGAATTAATTGGTGTTTCTAACTATATTTTAGGCTCAATAACCTTATCACAACTAGGATATTTATTTTCTTTCATAAGTAAAAATTTTTTAACACAATATTTATGGTATATATAACTATATAAGATAATTGTCAATAATTTTTTATTATATTTTAAGCATGTATTAAACTCTAAAATTCTTTATTTTAGATGATTTTATTATCAAAATTTTTTAAAATGTTATATGCAAAGATTCAAGGTTAGAAAGAAGCATTATAACAAGTAAACCTAAATAAGTTTTACAACCAAAATTTCTTTATACTTAGTTCATTTTTATATAATATCTACTTCATATTAACAATACTAATTTTAGATTTGTTGATTAGTCTATTTATAAATTATTTAATATAATAAACTAGATATAGATAAAAAATAAAATGAATTAGTTTCTTTTATTATAGTTATTAATTTATTATACATGATATATTACTAGTGCTAATATAACTATTACATTAAAAAACTAATATTTATTTGTAAAAAAAAGATTTGAATCTACAAGTTAGATATAATTGTATTTTGGTATTAAATACTAGTAACTTATATAATATATTTTAAATGTATTTATATATTTTGTTTGATATATTGAGAATCTAGACCACTCATTATTTTATTAGAATTTAAGAAGTGTTTTCTTTATATACTTTCTTGAAATTTTTTTATATTATTATTATTTTTTTTTTTAATATTAAGGTGATCACTTTGGGGTCTGGCATGTTTTATTAAACTTTAGATCGAATATCAAGACAATCACATAGGCTACTTCTGATTTTGTTATATTAACGTAAATACATTCTAGTCATACTGTATATACAACTTTTGGTTGTCTATTTAAGCAGTCTTGCATATATAATCTATATAAACTATATTAGATGTCATACTTGTAACCCACTATTACTTTAGTTACCTAATTAAACCCTCTGATCAACTTAGCGCCATTGGATATTCTCCTTAAAGAGGAACTG